TTGCTCCTAGTAGCGATGCACTTGTTCCTAGTAGCTTATTGTTTCTATTCTATATATTGTTTCTACTAGCTGACCACCGGTACTTCGGATTGGGCCGGTGCAATCAAGGACCTCATGGGCCATAGCACGTCCTCTCGTTTCTTCGGATTGGATGGTGCACGTCCGGTGGAAAGTTCTGGGCCTCACCGCTTGGGAGTCGGTTCAGCTAGTAGAAACAAGAAGCTACTAGTAACAAGTGCATCGCTTCTAGTAACAAGTGCCTTACTAGTAGTAGCAATGTTCGCTACTAGGAGCAAAGAGCATCGCTACTAGGAGCATGGACGCTACTAGGGGCTCCTGGCATTACTACTAGGAACAAGAGGACGGTACTAGTAACAAAGGATGAGCAATGCCGTGCCCTTTGCTCCTAGTAGCGAACATGGCTCCTAGTAGTAAGGCCAGGAGCCCCTAGTAGCGATGCCCTTTGCTCCTAGTAGCGTTTTAAAAATGGGTTGCTGAACCAGTCCCCTGCCACCGAGTTGGACATCCATTTGCCCTCTGAGGCGAGTGGTCCAAAGAGCTTAGACACCAAGCCCAGGCTCGAAATCGGCCATGGAGATATATGGAGACCCTGTTCACAGATGGAAAAAACAACTATTCGCATTGATCACTTTTACTGATCACAGACGTTCTTTTCTTTTTAACCATACTGCGAATCTGAAGGGGCTAGCGACTCAGAAGGAAATGCCCATCACGCCCCACCAAGCAGCTTGTTTTGTCCTTGAGCGTCAGATTCCGAAGATGCCGCCACTACGGTGTTGTGTTCTGTTGGACAAAGGATGGGTATATGGCGCTTGTTAATCAAGAGTCTACGTCGTTGCTTATGAAGGCATCATTCCTGGGGCTGCTGTACTCTTTAATCCTAACCCACCAGCACAGTATCAGTCAGAATGACACTAGCGAAGGCATGCCAAAATGACGAGATCAAAGTCACATGCCAATACCATTGCAATGACAGCAAACAACAAACAAGCAGCAACAAGAAACGCAAGCATACATGTATCCGGCCATCCAGCTAACCAACCAATCAGCCAGCCATCCAACAGTAGACTCCAACAAGGCCTTTGCAAAGCAGTCTGGTCAGGGCGAGCATAGTTCGATACATCCACTTGGATTCCTTCATTCGTCCAATGTTTTTGTTGTTTTTTTGTTCAATTTTTTGAGAAGCTGGAAGGGAACCGCCCGAATGGCAGGGAGGCGGAAGAGCGCGCAGAGCTCCCTATGCCAAGAGCGCCTGCCGCGGAAGTAGCGGAAGCTTGGCTTCTGAATGTTCACCACCTTGAGAAAGATCCGCAAAGAGCAGACCTTTTTGGAGGGACAAATATCAGAATATCAAGGCTGCTCCGAGCTTACTTGGACTCATGTAGGTCACGCAGGGGTAAACTCAGAACGTGAACAGCTCCTCACAAATGGCCCATAGGGACTCTGGATTCAGTGTGGTTGCTGCAGGCCTTGCATTTTTCTATATGTTTGCTGTAAAAATAGATTGCCTCCCTCATGCGGTTGGATCTTGTTTTGGCCAGGCCCTTAAGCAGACAGGCTCCTCAAGCTCAAGGGCAACTTGTACATCTGTAACTTTTGAAGAAAGGACCAAATCCACAAAACAGAAAACATGTTTAGTTCATTAGCCCGCTTCTGAAAGAATGTGCAGCTGGCTAGACATTCAACAACTTCACGCACAATCTCGCCCCACGGATGTTGGCAAAGATGGACGCCTGCTTTTCAGTGGTACTTCGGCACAGAAGTCTAGCTGGACTGGGCAGGGCTGGTCACCACTGCAGCTTTGGAAGAGGCCCACCTTCCCAGAAAGTTTGAAGCTTGAGTTCTTAGGAAGAAACTTCTACAACGAGTTCATTGTACGCTTCTTTGGCGTTCTTTACTTGACCGCGGGGACCTCATTCAAAGTGTTCAAGCAAAGGGCACTTGCCCGAGTTATTCTCTGGAAGCGTGTGTCCGGAACATGAAACAAACTCCTTGCCAGGATCCAGGTTGATCTTCCAAATCCAGAAATTTCAGGAATCTTTAGACAGTATTGACAATTGGCCAATGTCAAGGCTAGTTTACAAGAACCTAAAGGGCATTGTGGATCTTTGGTCATGTCTTCTGTTCATACTGCACCCGCTCAGTACCAACTCTGACTCATTGAGCAGCAAGCCAGAGCAGCAGCATGTCTGCGTAGACTGCATTGACTTGCTGTTTTGTGGATTTCCTTGCCTCGGTTTGTCTCCATTGAAGCAACAGCCGCTACGCTTCCAACCGGCCCAACAGAGCACTACAGCTGATGTTTTCTATGGCCTGTTGCCCCTGAGCTGACTGCGTATTGCAGAAGCGGAAAGTTGACGACAAGGTCTGCCCTTGTGACACCACGTGCCATGGTCAAAGCGAAGAAATGTTATTTTCATTGCGTCTTCGTTTTTTGCCGGGGCTTGTCGTGAATGCGAATGACATATGTCCAGGTGTCTCAGAAGATGCTTGGGGGGGAAGTGCAGTCAGCCCTTTTTTCTGAGGGGAAGGCCATCTAACCATCACCACATATCACCACTGGTTTTGACAATGGCATTTGCCCCAATCACTCTCTTACTGCACCTCATTAGGTCGCTGAGCAATCCGCATGGGTAAAGGATGTTTGCCCAGTGTGTGGTAGTCTATTTCGCCGCCGAAGCAAATTTTGGAACGCAACGATGCTTTCACCTTTGCATGGTACATGTGACTTATTACTTGGAGTGAGTGGTAAAGGCCAAGACGGCGAGAAGTGCGCGGTTGCTTGGTTTGTGTTTTCTTCTCAAGGTCGACATCGCGCGACAGCCAGTGCAGTGTTGCAGGATGTAGCGCTTTGGCTGATACCTGCGCTCCTGCAAGTCTTCAATCTCATGCGGGGCTGGACGTCCTTTTGGCGTGGCTATGTCCGAACTAATCACTTTCATGGACTTTCTTGTCTGTCCCCCTCGTTCACATAGTTATGTCTCAGCTGTCTGCCGCATTTTTTGAGCCTCTGCCACTGGCGCGTCGGGCTAGTCCTGATGCAGTGGACGCTACACCTGCGGAGTTTGCAGGTGTGTTTCGCGCCGGCCGCGAAGGCTAGGCTCCCACGCGTAGCGTGAAACATTCCAGCCGGACTGAGTGCCTTTGCAATTCGATCCTCCGAAGAATCCAGCGCCCCTGTTTTGCAAACGCTTGGATTCCCTGGAAGCCTTGGAAACCAGCAACAAGTTGGATGCAATGCTGCATCATGTGTTGGGCCTTGCTTGCTTCGGCCAGGCGCATTGAAGTGGTGCACAATGTGAAGATCAAAGGCCCCAATCTGATGCCAGGCGGTGCGTCGATCATTTCCAACCAAACACTGAAGATGAGCAAGGCGGGTGAAGTTTTGTAGGGTTGTGCCACTGAACACCTGAAGGCATGAAGCCGGATGAAAAATAAGCGCCTTTGGTGGCAGGGTCTTCAGAACACACATGAATACCTACCAGTACCTACAAGGCATTTGATATGTGTGTTTGCTCTAAACTTGCAAACTCTAAAGTGGCCCGGGGACGTAAACTTTCCAGCACGTGATGACTAGGGAATCTCACGCAGTTCCGTGTGATGTAGGGCTGGGGCGCATCCCCCGCCTCAATGGAAGGAGAAGGCACAGGTCCTAGCTCATTAGATTTCAGACTGTGTTTGGTTGAGACCTGTTTTGTGACCTCGGCTTTGACTTCTCAACGCTGGTAAGAGAAGACGGCAAACATCTGAATGCCTCAAAGATCTCCAGATATATCTCTGATCAACTTGGATTTTTTTAGCCCAGCCGGCTTGGGGGACGTTTCCGGACACACAAGACCGACAACCACTCGCGCTTCTGTTAGGGCAAAGCACCAGACTTAAAACACACGTTATGCCTGGAACTTCTTGAGGCCTTTCGTCCTTTTCTTCTCTTCTTTCAAACCTTTAGTTTGTAATTGCATTTCTTATGATGTCTTCATTTGTTGTTAGGTCATTTTTTGGAGACCGGCCCTAGCAGAGGCTGGTGACGGGTGCATTTTTTGTCTATCATTTATCATAAGGAAGCGTCCGGAATGCACCGTTCATTTTGGAGGGAACGTACCTGGGATATTCACCGCAGATCAGTTGCAGATCCGCCTTGCAAGGTGAGCGATCGACCAGAGGGCGGCGTGAAACGCTCCAGGCAATGAGAGGTTTCGCACGATGCCTTCAGAACCTGGATTAGATGGTTGTGCACGATGTTGACCATGTCGTCCCCCGGTTACGCCGTGTTTTTTTTTGGGAACCACTTGTTAGGCGTCATATCGCGGTATCAGTCTGAAGAGCCTTCAGTGTTGGGGAATCGGTTTTTCGCCACATAGACGGAAGGGAGAAGACGGTGTTCTTCCAACCTAAAAGTAAAAGGAACCTAAGAGGAATGGCCTGGAAAGGAGCGGGTGTGACAGACTGGGAAGGCAATCGGTCTTATTGAGGTTTCTGCAAGTATGGCATAACATACATGTCGTGTGATTGTTTTCTCTTTTCCATATGCATTTGCAGCCCTGATTTCAGATTCCGGATTTGTTTCGGCAGAAACTTGAATGGGGGTCCTTACTTTTCATTTCCACTTGGCAGGCCAGAGGCGCCCTGTGCTGCTGAAGCCGCGGAAGCTGTGGATTCTTGGCCGAGCCTATTTGGTTTTTGGTTTAATCAATTCTTTGTCACTTCCTCTTATGAGCATTGGATACGCATGTGTACCGCCAAAATCCCCGAAGAGTAGTTGAAAAATTCAAGACTTGCCTATCTATCAGTGTTTCCTCGTCAGCATAAGCAATCCACAAGCAACTAGCCCTGGACGAAATACACTCTAATAATGGTGTGAGGGCTTCCAATGAAGTGCAATGGCATAGTACTCGATGTTCAGAAAGGGCAAGGCATCCCAATTTGTCCTGATTCAGATTGCTTCGGCTTGTTAGGCTTGTTCCCCCTAGACCAGCTCCAGCAATTCCAGAATCTTTGCGATCGGCTCAAAGCGACTTGTACAAGTCCTGAGATCCAGTATATAAATGGATCCGATTTTGTTCTTTAACCCATATCCATATATATATATACCCTATATGTGTGATTTCAATGCAACCGGACTTCAATTCTTCTTCGGCCGGACGAGTACTTCGTCCATGGTTCCTTGGCGTCCGGAGCCTGCGCCGTTTCCAGTGCCGGTGCCCGACCTGGAAGCCGAAGTCTGCGCCGTCACGAAACAAGCACCTTGTGCCGTCAGACCTTGAAGGGAACAATCGGACATCCCAAAAAGGATTGGTGTTAGTTGAGAGAGCTGGCCACTGACAAATAAGACTTCTTTTTGAATAATAAGGGAGTGTATTCCATATATAACATCATCTTTCCACATCTGAAGTGAAGCATTCGCTCTTTTGGATTTTCGAGGCATCTGTGAGATCCCAAACCTCGTTGTCCTCAGAGCTGGCACCGAAGTTACTCCGTGGGGTGGCGCTGGATTCGTGCTTGCAGTGGCTTGGGGGAGACAAACCACGAAGGACGTTTTGTGGGGTGGCGCCGCCTGCGCTGGAGGTCAAAACGCGATGTTCTTCCGGAAGTTGGCATGGACTGAGTTTTGAAAGCTGAGGGTCCCGTTACTCAAGAAGGCCCAAGTAGAGAAGCATGTTTCTTAAGTGGTCCAAGAGTTCTTTAAGAGTGTGGATCGCTGTGAACTGCCAGGTCCATCTTTCATCCATAATGATCGACTCCGTAACCCACCGGAGAGCAGGAATACCTTGCTTTTGGCTGTGGCGGTTGCAAAGAACATAATTTGAACTATTGAAGTAAAGTTGGGGCAAGAATTGAACTCGCGTTTGGGTGCCAACAGCTGTTCGGGTGTTCTTCATCGTTTTTGGGACGGACGAGACGATGTCAGTACATCGTTTGTCTAAGGTGGTGGGGTGCACATTTCAGTGAAAGTGCTTCTTTGGAAGGTTATCAGCTCAGCAGGGAGACTGAGTGCATCAACCAGTTCTTAAGCCATGATTGGAAGACTCCGCGTTGGTCAAAGACGCTCGCATTGCTGGTCTTTTACAACAGTGTGCCCGCTGCCGTTGCGACCATCTGCGTGAGCAGTGTGACGTGCGGCTTGCTTCTGAGCCGCAGGCTTCCAGGAGGTTGGCCCACAGCAAGTATCTCAACCTACTCCACGTTTCTCATCTTTTTTTGCTTTGGGCAACTTGGTGGAACATGACTCTTTTTTTGGCCGTTTAGCCTTTGTTAAGACCACCAAGCCTTCCCTACCAGAAGGATTACTTACTAGGTTACTAGGCCAAACCGTCCAAGGTTGTGTCATTTTACGGCGAACACCTGGTTTTGCTTCACGTTTCATCCACCCTTTCCATGAAGCTGCTCAAGTGAGTTTCTTTGGAAAACGGCCAAGGCAACGGTTGCGACGTCTCGCTTGCTGTTCGGTGCCGATGGTCTTCCTGGACCGACTTTGTATCGCACAGCATGACGAGGAGCTCAAGCGACAGGGCATCCTGGGATTGGCTGGCTTTTTGCTCAAGTGGCACGGCTTGGCACATGTGTTGAGGGCTCAAGAATCTTTGGGCTGTAAGAACACGGTGAGTAGCAAGGTCCAGAGGATCAGTTTAAGATAACAGTGCTTGTCGAGGGGGGTCAAGTCAGCGTAACGAAAAATCAGCGCCAAGGAACATTCTAATCACAAGCTCAACATCTTGACAAGCAATCACGACAAGCAACCTTCCACAAGACACGCCTCGCCTCTGCATGTGGCAGAGGGTCTGCGGATGCCGGCAGATTACAGATCACGTACAGCAAATCGACGTCACGACTTGTTACACTGCAAACTTCAAACAATAGATTTATTGTTAATCTTCGTTACGTGTGCTTGAAGCTGATCAATTAGTGGCATACCGAGATGTCCAGTTCCACTTCATGGTTTGCAAGTGTCCCGCCTCCTAGCTCCGAAATTTGGCCCTATGATGTCGTGCATCGGAAAGTTAATCCCACCGAGATCATATACTAAGATGCAGAGATGCAATTCAAGACTAAACTTTCTGGCTGTGTGCAGCCAATTGAAAAGTCTGGCATGATTTTGTATTGCAATTTACGATAGCCAATCTCAGAAGAGTCTTTTTTGGGACAAGCTCTTCCTCTCTGTGGACGACGGGGGAGGGTTGAGCCGGGATTACACATCATTTTTCTGTCCAGCAAAGTGACCAGATGTAGAGGGTGAGAGAAAATCCCAACAAACAGGTTGTCCACTAGTCGGACTAGTCGTTGTTTTAGCTGCTAAAGGGCTTAGCTAGTCATATTTCTATATGTTTGACACGTATTTGATGTTATGCAGCATCACCTAATGACTGAGATGTGGGGTATCACAATTTTAACCCTGTACCTTCAATGCGAGTGGAACATGTGTAGCATTGCTGCCGTGGAATCACAAGCGTCGCAAGGTCCCAGAAACTGTTGATCCTTTGGACTCCTCGCACCTTCACTCGAGTGTGGTGTACCTTTGAGTCCTGGGCTTGCGAAGGAGAAAGTGTTTCCTTTGTACTGAGTTGTATATGTTTTAAAGCTGTCGTTTCTTTCTTGCTTTGATGGCGCAGTGAAATTATGTGTGACACTTGTTTCCTTCAAGTGGAGTCAAACACTTGGGGAATCGACAGGGAACACCAGGAAGGTTGCCACATGTTGCCACCTTTATATGAAGATAATAATGAAGATCCGCAAGGAACCCCACAATTCGTAAGGAATTGGCACATTTCCTTCGACCTGGAGGCGACAGCAAACGGGTGGAGATTCTGCCCGTCGCGATGATGTCTCTTGACCGAATCTGGATCCAGGTGTGGATCCTTTGGGATAGCAGTTCCGCTCGGGGAGGGGGGTTTGGGGACTTGGGTCATTACATTGTCCGGATTATGTCAGGGAGAGCCACCCTGCTTTTAGCCACCCTGCTTTAGCGAGGGAGTAATGGGAAAAGAAGCCGCCAGCTCAGGTCGTTGCTGATACTCACTTGTGCTGTGAACTTCATCTTCTGGTGCTTCTTTCATGTCTGGGTGTACATTGAGGAGCTAGGCTCAATGGGCATGGACGGCTTCTATATTGTTGCGCTGGCAGGAGGTATACTCTCTCCGTCGCTGCTTCTGGGGATGTCCATTCAAATCCATTTTGGGATCCAGTATATGAAGGACTTGGAGAGCCTTGGATCCGTAGAATGCAGCTCCACGCTGTGCCCCTGCGACATTGTCTTATATTTTTATATTATTAATGTTATATTTCAATCATCCGCATTTATGTTGGTGCTTCATGATGTCCACCCAAAAATCGGTGCCAAAACATGCGGTCTTTCTTCAGTTCCCAAGCTAGTAACGATGGCCTCCAACCTAATAGCGATGGCCTCCACCCTAGTAGCGATGGCCTCCTCTTCAGTTCCCAAGCATGAATGCCAAACAAAATACCAACCAGTGCCAGGTTGCACTGCCACGCTGCTCTGAATGGACCAAGGAACCTGGAAGGTCAAATGAAGGGCTTCAGCATTCGACAAGCTGAGTGCTCCTGCTGTGACTTGAATCACGTCCATCCACAGACTGGTGTTTCAATCCTTTGCGATCGTTCATTGGTGTTCAAGACGCTAAGACGCTGGTACCCTGCTGGCCCTGGCGATGATCACTTGGATTGATTCTCGGTCGATGGTGGTGTCGGGACGGGGGTGAGTCGCTCACTCCCTGAATGGTCCTTGAGTTCCTGTGTGGCCTTACTACTAGGAGCAAGAACGCTACGAACGGGGCTCCTGGCATTGCTACAAGTAGTTTTGCGGTGACGAAAGTACGACAGGAAATCGAGGGTAGATCCCAGTATAAAGGAGACTGTGCAGGCGAACGCATCAGGAGACTGTGCAGGCTGCCCTCAAATTGGATCAGTTTGGGAGCGCTCCTCAAAGGCTTTCGCAGGTCCATGCAAATCCCTAACTGTGCCGAACTGAATCTAGTAGCGTCCTTGCTCCTAGTAGTAAGGCCAGGAATTCTTTCTTTTTATAGAGCTCATCCAACTATCCATCTCAGTGGCCAACAGGTCAATGCCTTCTGAAAGAGGATTGTCGGTACGAACTGGTCAAAAGGGATTCAAAGGGTCAACTTTGAGCTGCATTGTGGGTTCACTAGCGATTGCGTTGCATCGTTGCGTCAGATATACTTTATAGTAATCGTCCAAAAGTGGCCCACACAGCAGTTATTCGATGCATCGCAGCAGACGATGTCAAACACCAAGGCTTTGATAGCCTCGTTCGCGAGCAGATGAGACATTTTGTCGTGGAAGGTTTGGGCTCCGGTGCTCCACCCTTACGTTTTATGCTGGCCATGATGGTTGTCTCACCCCTTGGCATCCGAAGTGAGAGATCTTGGGTTGGCTGCAAACATGCCCCCCAAATCGGGAAGTGAACCCTGTTTGCTTCTGCGCATATTTCAGCCTGTAGGGAATTTGAGGATACTGCAGATAGCTGAGTTTCAGCCACACCCCGGAAGTCTTCCTTTTGCTTTCTTCTGGAAGTCCGATCCTCAAAAGTATCTAAAGGTCCCTCATCATGGGGTACTTGATGCCGTTCTGATCCAAGGCATCCTGCCTCAATACATTCACATGGGCTTGGATCACATTCGAGTCTACCCACATGTGTCAGCGGAATGGAACTTCTGGCAGTGGATCGCTCAATTTGCGATGGTGCCACTTGTTACAATGTTCTTTTTTTTGGCTTTGTAACTTTGGCGCCTGGAGTGGTGCCAGGCTTAGTTTTTCCAAGTGGACATCGCTGCTGACGGTGCTGATCCTGAACTTTTGTTTGCTGGGTGCCTTTTGGCTTCCAATGGCGGTGGCAAGCTTTCCGAAGATACCGCAAAAGATGCTTCCAGTGTTGGCCGTCATGCTTTCAGTGCTGTTGGGCCTGTACACCCGGCAGTACGGATGTGTTTCTTGCGGAACCCTCGCCCAGCGTGGCCTACGTTTGTTGCGTTGGCGTTGAAGGGGCAAGATGGAACAAAGGCTTTTCATGGGTCGATGGTAGGTGGGAGGCGATTGCTTAGGTGTCACGATCCGTTTCACCGCCGGTTTCACTTGTACATCGCCTGTAGCTGCGTTGAGCCAGATGGTTTCTGGCATTTGCGATCCAGATGATGTCAAAATGATTTTGATGCCATGTGCGTTGTCCATGGATTGGCACACTTACTGTGGATCTTGCGTTCGCTAAGAGTGACTCTGTTTTGAGCCATCGAAGTCCACCATCCACAAGTTTCCTGCACTCATATTCAGGGAATGGCCAGGCTGTATCCACAGCTTCAGTGTGATCATGTGTGAACATTTAAGCACCGGGTTGACTCTATGGGTTCTACGTGATCAAAACTCTGGTGATCCATGAGACTTCGATTGATTTCTGGGAAGCTAACTATGCTGAAGTACAAAAAGAAAATAGGTGCATTACTAGTAGTAGCAAGAAGCTACATGCCTACATCTGCTTGGGGCTCAAGAGATGTTGATTTTGGAGTGGTCACCCAATTCCCATTTCTGCGAGCTTTCTCCCTTTTGGAGGCCATCGCTAATAGGTTGGAGGTCAAGACGACTTCGACCACTTCGACGTTTTCTCCGCGAAAGTCGACCAAGGCCGAGCACGCCGAGCGCGCCGGCTACGCCGCCGCCGCGGCAAGTGAGCGCGCCGCAGTCTGGGAGTTTCGGGTGAAAGATGGGTTCAAAGCCTTTGATGCGACATGTGGCCTGGCACAAAGTTTTGATGCTTTGAATTCAAATTGTTTGGATTGTAGGATGGAGAATGAAGAGTGAAAGAGTGACTGAGGCTACAAACTCGCAGACGTTCAGGCACAATAAAAATCTATTCTAGGCCGAATCGTATAATAGGCCGGTGTCTTTATTCACCTAAACATGAGCCAAACAAGTGACCTAAACAGCCAATCCTCGCCAAGGCCAGGGGCTGGTCGAAAGCTTGTATCAAGCCTTCCTGGCTGGTGGCGACCGCCTCGGGCACGTACCTTTTGGCAAACAGAGCCTCATCTGAAAGAGTTCAGCAAATTTGCACTCCAAACCATTTCGCTCTTAGGTGGGAGGCCATCGCTAGTAGGCTGGAGGCCATCGCTACTAGCTTGTAGGCCATCGCTATTGGGTTGGAGGCCATGGCTCTTAGGTTGTAGGCCATCGCTAGTAGGCTGGAGGCCATGGCTCTTAGGTTGGAGGCCATCATCGCTACTAGGTTGGAGGCCATCGCTATTAGGTTGGAGGCCATCGCTACTAGCTTGTAGGCC